TGTCGTGTTCGAAGCTTGTAGTCAATAAATCTCTGGGCTTTAGTTATCGTTCTCCAGGTAATCTCTCTCATACACTTCAATTTGTTGTTTTTAAACAAATAATTCGTTTGGAGATTTTTGATTGTTTCGAATGTTGCTTCAGTTCAAAAACTGGATTTTTCGAAATGGGTTAGTACAAGTTACCGAAGAGATGCTGTTTTATTATCAATCAAGTGTTCTTCGTCTGCTCAATTTGATAATGTAAGTTCGAAAATTTGGAATCAACTCAGGTTTTAAGCTATTTATCTCTTTGAAATTTTGAATTTCTTTTTTTTTTGTTATTTAGAACAATAGTGTTGTAAAGGAGAAAAGTGTGTCAGTGATTCTCTTAGCTGGAGGTCAAGGGAAGAGAATGAAAGTAAGTTTAGTAGATTTTTTTGTGTCTCAAAGTTTCAAGCTTTATGCTGAGTTGTTTGGTTTCTATGGAATCTCATTTGCTTACCATTTTGTTTGGCTTTGTTATCTGTTAATGTGAATAGATGAGTATGCCAAAGCAGTATATACCACTACTTGGTCAGCCAATTGCTTTGTATAGGTAACAAAATCTTACTCAAAAAAGTCAGTTATTTTGTAAAATCTTCTATGTTGTTTGAATCTGTGTCGCTGAAATGAGTCGTCTTAGAACTAATGGCACTCTAGTTTGTTGATAGACAAAGTATGATTTGATTGTTTTCGATCTGCGATATCTGCTTGTAGATTTGTATTGTATTATCTATAATTATAAGAATGTTTTGGTTTCGTGTCGCTGAAATGAGTCGTCTTAGAACTAATGACACTCTAGTTTGTTGATAGACAAAGTATGATTTGATTGTTTTCAATCTGCGATATCTGCTTGTAGATTTGTATATTGTAATATCTATAATTATAAGAATGTTTTGGTTTCGTGTAAAGAGATCTACTTTTGCTTTGCTGATTTTTTATGCCTCGTTGTTTGTAGCTTTTTCACGTTCTCGCGTATGCCTGAAGTGAAGGAAATTGTAGTTGTTTGCGATCCATTTTTCCGAGATATTTTTGAAGGTTTACTCTCGGTCTCTCTCTTACTAGTTATGTTTTTGGTTGAGTGGTTACAGAAAGATTTCACTGAGCTTTTGTTTTGTTGTTGTCTTGTAGAATACGAAGATTCAATTGATGTTGATCTAAGATTCGCTCTTCCGGGGAAAGAAAGACAAGATTCTGTTCACAGTGGACTTCAGGTTTATACCTTCATCTGTTTAATTAACATATCCAATGATATTTTCACTAGGCAGAATAAATTATTCTACAATGTATTGATTGTTCTAGGTCTTATAAATAAGCTTGTAGTTTATTTTTCACAGGAAGTTAATGTGAACTCTGAGCTTGTTTGCATCCACGACTCTGCCAGACCGTTGGTGGACACTGAAGATGTCGAGAAGGTAGATTTCATAGATATCTTATGAAAAGTAGCAAAAGATTAGGGAAAGAGAAACAAACTTATCTAAGTTCACTAGGAATTTTCTTGCACGGTTTTGTTTCCTTAAGGTACTTAAAGATGGTTGGGCGGTTGGAGCAGCCGTACTTGGTGTTCCAGCAAAAGCTACAATCAAAGAGGTACAGATTCTTCAATTCAATCATGCCGCAATAATGTAAATAGTTTCTTTTTTGGTCATGATCTCTTATTTTTTTCCGGTAATAGACTTGTTCCATCGCGATATGCAGGTCAATTCTGATTCGCTCGTGGTGAAAACTCTCGACAGAAAAACCCTTTGGGAAATGCAGACACCACAGGTTTTATACTATCTTCATGCTTCACATGAGATTTAATTGTTTTGATTGATGCTTCAATGTAATGCTTTCTCTTTAGGTGATCAAACCCGAGCTATTGAAGAGAGGTTTCGAGCTTGTGAAAAGGTTTGTGAAACATTAAAAATGACGAAGCCTTGATTAAAATTAAAGAAGACTAATTACTATGTGTTATGTATCTTTAACAGAGAAGGTCTAGAAGTAACAGATGATGTTTCGATTGTTGAATACCTTAAGCATCCGGTTTATGTCACTCAAGGATCTTATACAAACATCAAGGTAAAAAAAAACTAGATTACTTTTTTTCTTTCCCGCGGTGATAGAATGAAAAAAAAATGGCTCTTTTGATCGCTAAAATTATCATTTTCTTTTGCAGGTTACAACACCTGATGATCTACTGCTTGCGGAGAGAATCTTGAGTATGGAGGAGGACTCATGAAGTATCATTATAAGTTTGTTTACTTATATCAATTTTATGACTTGAAAATGTTCATAAGCTTTAAGAGTTTTCAGATTGTGAAAACTGTTTTGTTTCTATGCAACTTTCGAGTTTTTTGGGACTCTTTTCATGAAATGGAACTGAAAATTTTCGGTTTGGTTTTCGAAAAGTGTTTTCGAACAGTATATACGAAAGATTTCGATGTATTTTAGTTTGGATGATTCGCTTAAGATTCGAGTTTGTTTGGGGTTACTTTTAAGTGTAGACAATATGGTTGAAGCAAAATATGAACAATCAAAAGATAACACAATTTATTGTTATAGATTTATGTTTAAAAAGCAAAATAATACAATTTTATGTTTTCATGGATTGTTTTTGTTGTGGTGGGCATCCGGGGAAACCTGGAAAACAAATAGGTGGGATTGGGAACTGCTCCACTGATTGGTTCGGATCCTGGTTTGGTGGAGGAGGAGGAAGTGGCTCGGTTGGGTAAATAGGGTGTCGATAAATCGGTTTGAGAAGGCTCGGTCCTAGCCAGGGCAAGGCCAGATGCAAGAAGTAGAGTGACCACCATTGTTATTGCAAAGAACT